TCATTGGTTTTTAAGGGTAAAACAGCTTATTTAGAACTGCAGCCCTAAAACCAAGGATTATACAGTCATGGTAAAATAAGCCACCTTTGCAGTATTTTTGAGCTAAAAAAAAAAAAAACAACAACCCCAAAACAAAAAACAACTGGTGTGACTTTTATTAATTTGCTGAAAAGGGGCAAAATGTGGGACCTTTAAGATGAGATAAAATAAGATGAGATACGACATGGCTTCATTGTCTTCCTTTAAGCTGAGATACTTGAATGCATAGTTTTACATCAGATGTATGTGCTGCAGTAGCTTGAAGTCCAAGTGTAACTATCCAAACAGTCTGGGCAGGACTTTAGAACGACCATTACCTCTACTGTCACACAATTTGGCTACATTCCAATGTCCATACTACTACACTATATACCATGCCAGACAGTGATTTGTAATGTCCCAATTCATAGCGTGCCAAATGTAGTACGCCAAAATTACCCGGATGTCCGACTACATCTGGTTGGAGTTTGATTATGCAAGCGAGCGTGATTTTCTGGCCATTTTGCATCACGATGTTGCACATGGACATAAACAAGTTTTAGCCACTGAGAGCGCACAAACAGCTCATTTCGCCCTACAAACTGCGACGGTCAAAGTTTTAGTCGCATTATTATTTTGACAAAGTAGTGTCCTTCAATTGTATGCATACTTCATGAGACACTACGTGAGAGCGACTGTAGTAAGTCCTTCAAAGAAAAAGTATGCAATTTGGAACACAGCCGTTATTTCTCTCATTATTGTCATTGATTTATCCCTCGATGACTCACAGATTTTAAACCCAGTTACACATTTTAATTGCTGAGGGCTTCAACGAGAATAGCTGCACGTGGGGTCAGTGACTCACGAGGTTCTCTGGGATCAGACAAGCACTACATGCTGCTGTTTTCTTTAATTACACATCATGCATGAAGCACCAAACTCTCTCTCTGTTGAACGCAGCAGCTTTTGATCTAAGCCCCTGAGCCCTGATGATGGCTCTTAACACGCTGAAACACAAATCGTAATTTTCCTTTTTCACCCAGATAAACAAAAGAAAATGTGTGCTGATTGTTTACTGAGATGTCTGAATTGGTTCATACAGAGAGACCTTGCGCCTGTAATCTGCAACAAGTGTCTCTTTATCTCTGCAGAGCTTCTTTGATGGCTGGGACTGCACAAAGAAGAAGGACAAAACCAAAGGAAGGCATGACACCTTGCTGGGATGTAAGTAATCATGAAACATTTAATCCTGAACACTGAAGACGTTCTGACAGCCTTGTATTTCATCATTTCCTTTGCTCTTTTTTTTATTCTTATCTCTCTCAGATGACCGCCACAGAGTGAAGCTCCACCCTCTCCTGGGAGACCCCAACTCAGACTACATTAACGCAAACTACATTGACGTGAGTCTAATCCTGTTTTTTCTGCCTGTGTTCGATATGGGATACAAATAGCCTCTGCTGAGTCTATCTCTCACGCCCTGCAAAGCCACAGTCCATCTCTCTCATTCCTGTAAGCCCACCAGTCTGCTGCCCCACTTTCACCTGGAAGTCTTCATCCAATCAGACACCCTTCCCGGCAGTGTTTTGCCAGATGCCACGCTTGTCAATTGCGGCTGCACCGGATATCTGACCCAGACTCTCCTCTGCTATCACTGTTATTAAAACAGAGCGGAATAAATGCATTTAATGCCTTTGCAGAGGAGATGAACCTCGCTGTAAGATGCTACAAATCCCCCTAAATTAAATAGACATCATTGATGTTATTCAATCTCTGGATGGGCCGGAAGGAGATGATCCTTTCCACCGTTCACCTTAACTGTCACACACATGCAGTAACATTCTCACTGCTCATACAAAATACATGTATATGTTGCTAATGTGTCTCACACTATCTCATTCATGCGTGTTCTCATTCATAAAAGCTCGTGGAGGCTGCTCAGAAAGTGGAGAAACGACTAAAAGTATTTAGCCAAGATTATAGAAAATAAACATACCCTATAAATAGAAGCCCGTATTTCCATTCCCTGTGACTTATCTGTCGTAGTCCTTAGTTGTTATTCTCTATTCATTCGAGTGATGTCAAGGGAAGTCTGGCAATCTAGTGTGATTTCTTTATCTCACAAGATTTATTTTGCACGCCCCTCATTGGGACTACTGTAAAGTAAATATGCCACTCTGCTGGAAGCTGAGGCGATGTATTCCCGCTTTTGTTTGAGCTTGATAAGAGGCTGGAAGATCTGGTCTCTGTCAGAAAGGACCTTTTTGAAAAATAGCTGCTGTGTTATTTTTTCTGTGAAAGAAAATTCCTGTTGATTTTGGGTGCATTCCTCCTTTTTGGCCAAATTGTATCATCAAAATGCTTGACACTGCCGAGCTTTTTTTTCCCCTCTCTTCTATTGCTCTGTAGAGAAAGGGCAGCGGTGAGATGCTTTTAGAGAGTTCATTACAAAGAGAGGGCATTAAAAACCTGGCCTGCTGTTAGGCTGTAGTTATTGGGAGGGTCTCCATTAGCGTTTAGGGCACAGAGGTGCAGGCATTAGAGGGAAAATACCACTCAGCAGCCACTACAGTGTCAGTGTCAGTGATGTTACTCCCTGACAAGGATGACCTGGCAAGCTGAATTGTAACTACTTAGTCACGGCGGAGCATATTTTGGACAGCCTGTGATTATTTCAGCAGAGGTTAAATGCAAAAGTTTTTCCTCCCTCTGAAACGTTATTGCGCTTTCACAAAGTGCAAGCACTCTGAATCCTCTTTTTGTGTCACTTAATGCCCGGTTATTTGCTTTTGTTGTGGTGTACGTTGCTCAGAGAGATGCAGAACTTTGCATATGTTTAACAGCTTGCCGCATTTATTTTAAGTGGAGAGCAGCACAGTGCGTCGTAGCTGCTGCTCATTTACATTTTGTCTCCATCCAAGGAGCGTCGGGGCCTTCCTGACAGGCGTAGTACGGCCACAAAACCCAAAACATACACACAGCAGTCATAGCTTCTTTTGTTTCTGACATCAAATCATAGACTGTATAAAAGATGGACGTAGCAACCAGCCCCGAAAAATGAAGCCAACCTGGAAGTGTCAAAAACCTACATCCGCTCGCTGCTGGCTCCAAAAAGCCCTGGCTCCCATAGACTTGAATTGGAAAAGAAGTGATCACAGATCGTGAAATACTGCATTCCTACAGCTCAGGATTTTTTTCTTATTAGTTTTCACGGTCAAATCCAGAGATCAGGTGGCCAATCTGAAAATAAATCAATGCTGAATTTTTTAAAAATCGTCTAAATTTTGCGGGGCAAGGGGCGTGGCTGGCTTGATTGACAGTCGGCAGCAACCATACAGACGAAGCGAGCAGAAGGCAGTAAATGTGGGCGGGGCAGAGAGGGCCCGCCCCTCAATCCGTCTGACCAATCGCTGCTCCTATGGCTCCGCCCCCCTCCAACGATTTTTGCGTCACTGGCTCCAAAAATCCAAGATGTCAACCAGGAAGTAGCAAAACCCTGGCTTCATTTTCTCAGTGCTGAAACCAACGGGTGACGTCACGGTAGCTACGTCCATCTTTTATACAATCTATGCATCAAATGCCCTCAGAATCAGTTTTCTCAATCAGAGTTGGCTGTGAATTTCTCCTTGAACAATCAGAGTTTTGGTTATTTTGCACGAGTGATTTTTGCATTGTAGTTTTTGTCCTTGCTTTTCTCATGGTGTTGATGAGTCAGATGGAAATAAGTTGCTTAATGTGGCATTCAGCAGCATTTGAATCTGGATCTGAAGGTGTTTGCAGATAAGGTGCAATTGCTTTGTACTAATATGATTCTGTTCCTGGCCAGCGGTTAACAATTATGTTCTGTACCAGCGTACATGCTTCATATGTAGCTTGTAAAGGAGAACAGGATACTGATGCCTTCTCACTTGAAGGAAAAGTGCATGCCTGGTGCATTAACCAAAAAGATTTCTAGCTTCTGGGTTTGCTTTGTGCAGATCCGAGTCCAGAAGTGTTTCCCCGTCCGGCCCCCCACACTAGTTCCACACGCTGATGGAAAAACTCACTTTTCTAGTCATTGGAGAGGTTTATAAATATGAAACCTTAAAAAAATCATTTAAAAAAATGCAGTTGTTTCATTTATAATGGTGGTCTATTGGGATTTTTTTTGTAACGATACCACAAGAGACCACTTGGATAAACTTGCAAAGCTGAGCGGTGGCGCTGTTTCAAGTCTTTTTGATGCAACTATAGGCTGAAGACTACAAGTTTAAAAATGAAAAGAGTGTGGAGCTACAAATCTCTGCTTGAGGCTAGTGGCTCGAGGCTACATCAGCAGAGTCGAACATAAAACACCCCCGTTCGCTGAGCCGACTGTCAGCCATCGAGATACATTGTGGGTAATGTAGGATTTGACAAGGGAGAGGAATGCGTGGAATCAAAAAGACAATATCTCTGCTTCTGCTGCATCACATTGGATCCCCTTTTTTAATTGTGCATCATGAGTGTGACAGTGTCATAAGAGCGTAATGTAAAATCGGTAGAGTACCCTTTTAAGATTAGAAACAAAGGTTTCGGGGGCTTTTAAGTGTAACTACTTACTTTGCTCTTAAAATTGCTTGTCACAGTTTGTTACCCAGGCCATAAACAAGCCCAGACTCTGTAGCGCTTCCTTCCAAGAGTGTTGATATTCAACATGCAATGAAAAGGCTTTTGGCATCATTTTAAAACAGTGAGCTAGCCTCATTTTCTGATTAGCAGCATAATGTATGTGCGAGTCTCTGTAAATAGATGCAAATTAAACAGTAAAGAAAACAAGATTTAATTTTTTTTTCCCAAAAAGCAATGGCCTGAGGTCATAAATTCACACAAAGTGAGCGCGCTAACACACGAAGCTCAGTGCTGCCGTGCTTATAGAAACATATATGCACACACGCAGACCTCCCACCTGTCTGTAACGATAACACCCAAAGCTTCTTTCATTAACTAGCCTATATGTCTTCTTTTTCTACTTCCCACCCCACTTCCTCGACCTTGGACCCTGTAGATTCGGATTAACAGGGAAGTAAGTACTTAACTGCTCGTTCTTCTGCCTGCCATCGCTCTATTTTTTCCTCTCTCCCCCCCTTCCTGTCTCCTCTCACTTCCCTCTTCTCTTTTCACTGTCCTCTATCCACAAATGCTCAAAGGTCAGAGTGTTTTCAGGTCTGTGCACATTTGACAAAAACGGAATAAAAAAGAAAAAAAAAAGCCCAAAACATGCCCTTTTAGCTAATGATTTTAAACGAACACAAGGAGATGTGTCCTCTCCGGATAGAGGACCCTGCTGTCTTTGTTAGTTCTCATAAGTGGCCAAGAATCAGGAAGTTTAGTTGCCATGGCAACCGTCTTAAGTGGAGGAGTGGTGGCATTCATGCTGATAGAATTTGGCCAGGGCCTGAGGAATTGTGGATAGCAGGCCTCACAGCACTGGTCATCCATCTCCATTCCAAACATGTCCCCGTTTATCTGACTGGATGCAATTCAGCTCAGCAATCCATCAGCAACGTGGACGGACTCGATGTATTAGGAAGATGCCCTCTGCAAAAAAAAAAAGATTTAAAAATAAAAAAAACTGTTATCAACATGGATTGCCGCATGATTTGATGAGAGCTGGTGGGTTTTGGGAGTTTGTTCAGATTATTCCTGACCTGCCTTCGCCCGCTCCACAGCCATGTTAGTCATGTAATTGCGGCATCAATTATCCTTCCAGCTGCTCTTCTCAACAAACAGCGAACCACAACATCCATTTGGTTTCCTGGGCGATGTTTTCATTGAGTCTCAGGAAACAGGTGTCTCCTTTACTTAGACAGGTTTACTAAGCAGTACTTATTTTTTAAGGAGGACTTCCTTTGAACAGCTTGCTCTTCCTGAAAGTGCTTCAAAGTCCCTCAGGTGGTCTTTGTCGTGTTTATTCCCCTCAAGGCTGTAGAGGTGACATCTCATTCATATTCACCCCATACTCACCATATGAAATTGTCTGTCATCTATATCAAAGGTTGTCACGGCCTTTGATATGACGGTTTTCAAAAATACTTTGCTGTACGTATCTGATTTTGCTCACGAAGGCTGTTTATCTACATGCATTTATGTGAAACCTGCGCAAGACGTTGGTCCACTTGTTTGACTTGAATTTCATACAGAGAGAAAAAAAAAAAGAAAACGTGTGCTTCTGGTTTGTTAATTCATCATCTCAGATGTAGCAGATATTGTATTTTCAATGAAAATTGATTTGTGCTTTATGAGACAGAGAGATGGATAAATAAGTCGGACACCTGAAATTAAAAAGTGCGAGCCTTTAGTTTCTCTATCATATCTTTATTAAACTGTCAAAGGGACTCAGGTATTGTTCGCTCAGCTATTCTGACGTGCTGTAGACATCCATCAGCTCAGGATGCAGCACTTGTGTTGCCTCCAAACTCTCTGTGGAGTCTCTGAGGGGCTAAGACATGGTCCGGACTTATCGATAGCAACATTATACAGAAGACAGAGAATTTACAAGAATGGGTCAGTAGGAGAGCAGAATGCAGGGGGAGAGGAGGAGGAGGGGAGGAAAAGGGTGAGACAGAGAGACACCCTCCCCATACAGCTGTGCCTGAGGCGCAGATGGCTTACTCAGCATGTCATCCCTCTTCTCTCTTTCAGGGCTACCATCGATCCAACCACTTCATCGCCACTCAGGGTGAGTATCCCAGCAAGGCTATAGTGTGTATTAGTGTGTGTGTGTGTGTGTGTGTGTGGATCCTGTATGGTGAGCACCTTTTGTCACGCTATAATAAATTGAAGATGATCCAACCAATGAGCCCGCTCATGCACGGTCCCTTGCCAGAAACCATCTCCTCTGCCGAACCCAAAGGTGACGGTATGACTATCAACCCTTGAAGGCTGTGTTAGTGGTGTCAATGAATTAATCATGAGAAAAGCCTGAATAATTGAACGCATTAATTATAGCTTCTCAATCTCTGTGACATGTGGAGCGATGTGTTCATTGTCACAGAGAGAACCTTTAGTTCACTCCCCGTCGCCCAAATACAAAGTCGCGTCTGACGGACAGTCGGGCTCCGCGTTTTCAAAATTCCTCTCTGCTGTTTCCAAACCCTTAAGGAGGGTCAGTTTCCAGGGAGTTCCTCAGGGTCTGCTCATCTGCTTATCTTGCACTCGCACCACCTCTCCCCTCCTATAAGATGAAACTTGCATGAAAGGAAAAAAAAAAAAGATGTCAGCTGCTGCTTTTTTTTTTTGTCTTTCTGAGTATTTTTTTCCACCCCTACGTGATTCTTGTTTTAAAGCCGCATCTCGCTTCCTAAACGTCTGTTCCTCAGATGACAGTGAGTGACTGGTGGTCCCCCGGGCTTTCATCACCAGCTACTGCTGTTGTTTTGTCACCCGTCGCCCGTTCCCTTCTCCCTGCCTGGAATTCCCAATACCTTTATTGATGGCACAATCTTAAGAGATCAGTACCCTTCCATCTGAGGAAGGACGCTTGGGTCGCAATCATACAAGATTTCACAACGCAAAAGCTCCCTTATTGCGAGGGCAGGCTTTGATGCTGACGTTTTTTTGTCTCATTCTCTGTTATTTCCTCCCTCTTCCCACCAGGACCCAAGCAGGAGACTCTGTATGATTTCTGGAGGATGGTGTGGCAGGAAAATTGTTTCAGCATCGTCATGATCACTAAGCTGGTCGAGGTTGGCAGGGTAAGTAATGTGCACTCTCCTCTTCTCCCCCTCCTGTCACCACCCAGTGTTCAGAAAAATACCACATTCATCATAAGGGAACATTTTGGTGACTATATGAAAGGCTTTCATGTCTTTGATAAGCATAGGTCTCACAGGACCTCGCTGTGAATGCAAACTGCAGCCTAAAAGCTTGTGTGAACTGAATGCCTTTTTTTTTTTTTGTGTGTGAAATCACAAACCTAAGCGTTGAAGGAGCAGTTAAACAAGTTAGATCTGCAACAATTAATTGATTAGTTGTGACGTATTAAATTAACTGCCAACTATTTTGATGTTAAATGAATAGATGTGTGATGTTTCTAAGAAAAAAAAAGGCAAAAATCCGGGAATGAAAAGAAAAAACCGTAATTCCCCCCGAAAACAAAACTAAAAACCTTCAGGTGGGGACAAAAACAAAAGGCCAACATGGCATCTGGGAAACACAGACATGTTTTACCATTTTCTGACATTTTATAGAAAAAAAACAACAACTAATCAACAAAGACATATCATTAATTTTAACCCAATAGATAATTACTCTAGTCGATAACATCAGTGCAGCTCTCACGTCTAGCAGACAGTTACAGTCGGCTTTGTGGGAATAAAACTATTAAAATCCACTGACCAGTAGCTTTTTTTCTCCGCTACTTTTAAAGGTGCTGAGTGGCAGATTTTGGTACCTTATTTGGACAGAACCAGACTGCTATTTCCCCCCGTAACAAATGTTTATGCTAAGCTAGCAGCAGATTGACATTTAGCATGCAGACCGAGTAGTAACCTGAAACTGAGATAATGCAAAAGTTTCAAAAACGGCAGATCCTCGAATGGCTTCTTGAGGCCTGGTCCCATAGTGAGTCAGTCTCAGTCGACTGCTTCACAGCAGAAGTGAACAGCCTGCTACAAAAGCATTTTTGGTCTGTAAAGCTAATTTTCCTTTTCATGACAGAGGTGCAGAATGTTTTTTTTAATAAAACTCACTTGCTTGAACTGTATTCAGATTTAAAGTTGTGCATAAATAAAGGCGGTGACTCCTTTAGGTGACAGGTGTGTGCTGATGTAGGGAAGTCAATGGCCCGCCTCAGCTCCACTCACACTCCACCTCTTTGCTCATTTTTGGATTAGCTGGGAGTTGGGAGGACTGCCAAGATGGCAGCAGCTGAAGCCACACTGAGCTTCACAACGACTCACACAAAGGGTCCATCCATCCTTATATACAGTCAGTACTGACACAAGTCTATAAAGGTATTTTCCAGCATATCTAACGTAGGCTGGGAAATACGACCTCCTTGCAATTAATTGTCACATTTACTTCAGTCACAATTCATTTCACCAATTTTAATTAATACATTTGCTCAAAATCTATCTCAAAGTTCACAGTTATTAATTATTTGCTCTGCACGGTAAATAGAAACTCATGAATTTTTCTACCCAGGTGACATTTATCTAACATTCAATAGTATTTAACATTCATTTATTAAACATTCAGTTGCTTAAAGCAGTTATTGTTTTTGTTCTTTTTCCAGCGAAATCTATACTCCAGGCTTCTGCTGTCCTAAATGTACCACACTGTTTGTGTCCATGAGTCATGTTCACGGATTTAGACCCCTGTTAAGCTGAAGTAAAAAACAAAACAACGGGATTCTGTCACGTCTGTTGTTGCCTAATAACTTATAATATTTCTGGCCTTTGGATTTCCCAACAAAGGTGTTTACCAATTTGAATAGGTTTTGCATATAGAGTACACCTCTATGATGGACTGCTGCGTCTCAAAACATTTTTTTTGCTGTTGCCTTTTTGTTTTTTTTCGACGTGGACTCGACTTGTATTTGCATATAGCCTCCTTCTGTCCTGTCTTGTGTTTACTGGGGCCAAAGATAGTCTCACGACTTCTTGTTTCTGCAGAAGCTCTTCCTCATGTGCACCTGCGACTGCTTCTATTTGTCCAACACTGGGCTGAATCGGATAACTAGCGGTTAGTGTGGGTGTCAACATAGATTGTGAACACATGTTTACTGACAGGGACGGGTTGTTTGTTACCGACTTCCTGGGGGACATGATTAATTTATTGAACATATTGAATAAAAAATCCCTATGTCTCAGTCTTCCTTTAGCTTTCTGTACTGTATTCTTTTGGTGGAAAACGAACATCTGGGGTCATCTAAAGTATATTTGTAGGTCTGCTTTTGTTGAATTTTTCATGAAATGCATGCATTTTAAAGGATTGCTGCACAGATTATCCTTTATCTGCTTGTTATGGCAATTTCATGAAATTGCATTGCTGTGTTCGGAGAAATGTGCATCAACATTATAGTGATTATAAAGTGTACAATACTTGTGGTGCATATAAACATACTCTGGACCGCTGGGCTGCTTGACTTTGTAAATACGCTGCCCACTATATACTGTAGCAGCATTGTTTTCCACTTCACATAAATGCAGGTATCTACTGTAAGTATTCCATCCTTTTCCAGTTGAGGCAGGAAAAACATATTACCTCAGTGGATGGTTAAAATGACACAATTTTTCTAGCAGTAGCCCTTCATCCAATTTGGTTCTGCATCCCGGCAATCCTGGGAGCAGTCAACAAATGAGAAGTGGTCTGTGTGGCTGAATCCAAATAACACCTCCATTAAATAAAAAAAAAATTACTTCCATTGTGCCCGGTGTTGGTAAAAAAAAAAGATTGCTGCCCTCCTGTTCATTATGCTGCCTGCCATTATGTGATTATTGTGCTTTTCTTCTCTTTGCCCTCCAAGATAAAATATCTGCAGAGGAACAGCTTGTTTTTGTTCTTGTGCAGGATTTGCAGTGTAACCTCTACATGCTTTTTAAAAAAAATCTTATTAAAATTCCAACCAGGATGTCTCTGTTCTAGTTAAGCCAAGAAATTAAGTGCCTAATATTTTTGTTATCATCACTTAATTTCAATTTGTGATCACACAGGTAGTATTTATCTCTTTTTGCTCCGAGTGAGTTGTTAAATTAACCTACGGAGATATATCTTATTATGGATTCACTCTGAATTTAGTGCTTAGATTTTAAATGTGAAATCTTAGAAATCCAAAACTTGTGTACAGAAGAACCCAAGCGAGCTTATAGATTTATCCAACAACTGTAATTTAAGCCGGCAATCCACTGCTCTGCACATTCATAAACAATGATAACACAGCCTCGGGCATCTTTTGTGAAATTCACCAGGTTGGTGCTGTAGTTGGGGAGCTGGACTTGGTGTTACCATCATTTACTTGAATTTGCACAACCGATGGGCAGTTTGGTGTTTAACACTCAATCCTAGATGCAAATTATAAAAGCACCGCTTGTGCACGAACCAAACTTGTTTTTTTTCCATTTGCCTACAGGTAAAAGAATCGAAGGGGGAGTGATTTCATGCACCGCAGAGTGTAATTTATTAATTGGCGCGTCGAAAGAAACTGCATAAATAAACACAACAACAAAACTCAGAGGAGTATACTCTGGATTGAATGTCCTGCTCTTGTTTTTTTTTTATCTTTTTAAATCAAGCGTGAGCCTCAACAGTTCTCTGCCAAACAGACTAATTCATGTCACACCTTCTGCAGCTTTGCGGTAATTCAGGAATAACTCTGTTGCTTTGCTGCTTTAAAACAGGTGAAGTGCTGTAAATACTGGCCCGATGACAGCGAGATGTACGGCGACATCAAGATCACTCTGCTCAAGACGGAAACTCTCGCTGAATACACAGTTCGAACCTTCGCCTTGGAGAGGGTGAGTTTGTCTCAGATTTTGCCTTCAATTGTTTGCCTACCTTTATCTTTTTTTGCATTTCTTGTTGTTTGTCATTCAATTTGTCGCTACATCTTCTGGTTTCTTTTGCTGACAAGTTAGCCGTGTTACCTGGTTAAGCAAGCATTAAAATTAGCAGCAGAACCTTAATAGAAAGGATTAGACACTTGCCGGGACTTAAGGCTGATAGACACAAGGTCCACATGTTAAATTGAGAGGAATTAACACCAGTAGCTATGTGAATGCCCCTGCCGTCTTTCCAACATAGCTGTTACAGTGTTGTTCCCCTGATGGCCTCCATCCTGTCAGTCTCTGGGGGGATCTCTCATTGGAAGGGCTCAGAGAAGCACTGGAGTGACAGTGGCACAAACACAGCATTATCATCGCACTGTCACATTTGCTCTCCATGGGCACACGCTGCTGCTTATTCAAATCGGCATGAATTTGGGAACTGGTGACAGCTTGTTTTTCATAGCTCCCCTCCTTTTTCTTTTTTTGGATTTCTGTCTTCAACAAATCTTTGCTTTGCGTCGCTTTACTTTGTCATCTCTGTGTGGAGGAAGAAATTGCTGTGCGACTTCAGCAGCCTCCCAGCAGAGGAGAAACCTCCAGCCCTCCCTGAGCTCCCCAGAGCCTCAATAATTCCTTTTCTGCACGTCTGTCACACTGCAGCTGCTACTAACATGTGATGCCCTGAGGCCTAACTGTCCTAGAAGACCTAACACCCCACGTAAATAATGTCCTGGTTGTCCTCACACTGAACCAAAAAAAAATTTGTCACATCTGTCACGGAGGGAGGATGTCTCTGAATGCATGGGAGCACATCTTCTGCGAGATCAGGGCCTGTAGGCTACAAGGATTAGGATGCCAGCCATTATGTAGTGTTGTTGTTTTTTTTTTTAAAGTGCACTGTGTTTCTTTTGGCAGAGAGGATATTCGACCAAGCACGAGGTGCGTCAGTTCCACTTCACATCCTGGCCTGAACACGGGGTGCCCTACCACGCCACCGGACTGCTAGCTTTTATACGAAGAGTGAAAGCCTCCACACCTCCTGATGCCGGCCCTGTGGTGGTCCACTGCAGGTAGCGTGATGCTTAGCAAGTCATAGATGGTGTTGTCTTTGAGAGACTGAGTGTGAGCCTCGTGTGTCCGTTGGAGGCTGCTGCTGGTTTCAATCAGCTGATTTTTGGTCGACTCTCTAGATCGGCTACTGTGAAAGTAAAATCAACCATCAG